AAAATGTGATAAATCATAAAGTAAAGCAGTGTCTGAGAATAAAGGCAAATGGAAAAAAAAATGAAACAAATCCCAAAATAAAAAAAAATAAAGAACAAAATCAAATTGTATCAGAGTTTCAGATGATTGAATTAATCGAGGAGATCAGCAGGTCCGATCCAGTGAGAATTCAGTTGTTTCATAGTCCATGGGGTCGGTCTGCTCGTTTGTGGTGTTCTCATCATCAAGGAGGTCGTCACCTTCCAGGTTAGCAGCATCGACTGGCTGAGTCATGTTGGCTTCAGCAGGAGCTTTTCCGTACTTCTGGTATAGATCGCAGTGGATCTTGGGGGTGCGACATTGCTTTGTTGGGTGGTTGAACATCCCACATCTGGTACAAGCAGAGTGATCGGGGTTGGTGTGGCGGGTCGGCTTGGTGATGCCTCGACCACGACCAGGACCATAACTGAGGTTAGGTCGGTTGCCACGACCATGTCCGCGTCCACGTCTTCCACGTCCATGTCCTCGGCCATTACCACGTCCATTACCACGTCCACGGCGGTGATCTGAGGATCTATCGGGTTGAACATGGTAGGACTCTTGACGAGAAGCATGGACAGGAGCTGATCCCGGGGGCCTCATAGCGCTGTTCCTCATAAGCAGCTGGTTATTCTTCTCAGCGAGGAGAAGACAGGACAACAAGTCTTCGTACAATGTGTGTTTCATTGCACGGTATTGTTGTTGGAGCACAACATTCTCTGTGCTGAATGTGGATAATGTTTTCTCGAGGAGATCATTATCTGTCACATCCTCGCCACAGAGTTTCCGGATGGCAACAATACGAAAGAGTTCGTTGTTGTAATCATCTACGGATTTGTAGTCCTGGAACCGAAGGTTCTTCCAGTCGAAATCTGCCTGAGGCAACTGGACCATTTTCTGATGGTCATATCGCTTTTTCAGCGCTTGCCACAATTCAAGTGGATTCTCAAGAGTGAGATATTGCTGCTTAAGGCTCGGGGCCAGATGATGGCGTATGTGACATATCGCCTGAGACTGTCCCTTACGGGATGCGGTGTTACCGTCGGTAATACACGCATCGAGTTCTTTCGATGCGAGGAACAAGCGCATGTCTAGGGCCCACTCGAGGTAGTTATCCCCGGAGACGTGAAGGGCCTCGAATTCACATTTCTGAATGTTTGACATCTGAAACATGAGATTGATTTTGTTAGGGATTGTTTTGAGAAAATTTTGAATGCTGATGATGAAACTTTCTATTTTGAGAATATTTCTATTTTAGGAAAGTTTCTAAATTTGGAAAGTTTCTAATTTGGGTAATTTTCTAAATGAGGAAAGTTTCTATGTCGGGAAAATTTCTATATGAGGAAAGTTTTTATATGAGGAAACTTTCTATTAGAGGGAACTTTCTCGGAAATAGTAAATTTTAAAGGGTATGGTTTTAGTTACCCCGAACATGATGTCGGTTTAATAGCTGTGATTTAATCGGTTAAAGCCGAATATAATTTCGGTTAATGAGAACCAAGTTTAGCCGGTTTTAGGCGGTTTAGGAGGAACCCTAGGGGAGCCGAATATGATTAGGGTTTTATCTAGGGTTTTAACGGTTTGGAAAACATATTTTGGATGTGATTTCGAGATCTATAGGATCTGTGGTCGATGGTTTTAATAATTTCACAAGGACAACAAAGAAATCACGTGAAAAGGACTAGGGTTTAAGCATTATGACTTACGATTTTGAAGATTACAAAATCGTGAATCAAGCTTAGGATTTAGGGTTAATTTTCTTAGTTTATTCAATCAAGTGTTTCAAGCAAGAGAATCAACAATCAAATAAGCTGCAACAAGCTTATTAAACATGAAGAAAATCGAATAGGTTTATGCCATAAACATGGCCAAAAACGGTTGTTAGGTTTTTGTAGATTAGGGTTTTATAAAACGAGTTTAAAACCTTTGAACATGCATAAACTTGTAATTTAAACAATCAATCAACAAGTTATCAATCAATCATCAGAGTATCAAACACTTTCAATCAATTAGAGATCGATTTTTTTTTTTTTATAGGGTTTTGAAGTGTTTAAACAACAGGTTCTATGGCTCTCAGTTTTAGAAGATACCTTTTCCACCTTTGGATTTCTGACAGGCTAATGAAACTGGGAGCTAATAGACCTCAGTTAGCCGCTACGAATTCCAAGGATTGATCACCAAAACTGGAGAAGCTGCTGGTTGAAGAAGGAAAAACTCGGATCTGGTTTTTTTTTTCGGTTGATCGTCGTGTACTGTAAGTGTGCGTGAGGGCGCGTCCGACGTTGGATCGACAAACGGTTTTCACCAGTAGATTCGTCTCGTCGAGGGCTTCGATTTGATATGTAGATCGTCTTCTGGTTCCTCACGGTTTGGAAGATATGCGTCTTTTAAGTTTCGACTTGCTTTTAGGGTTTTGGTGGTGGCCGGATTTATTAGGGTTTTTCGCTCAGAGAGTCTTATCGTGCTGATAACGTGTTGTGAAAACTTAGAAACTTTATTAATCACTGGAATGTATATATAGAGTACATAGAGAATCTAGGTTAAGTACAATGCCCTGATGGGCCTAATGGGCCGGTATAAGAGTCCATATATGATATGTGTTATAACAATTCTTAAATATATTATGGATGTCAAATTTTAAATGTATATGGCAAATTTAATCCCAAAACTTGTTTTTATGAAATTTAAGAGAATTGCCTTATGTTTTGACTATACATGGTTTATGGAAAAGACTCACTGAGTTTTTTTACAAAAGAAATTCAAATGTTAGATCTTCTTTTTACAAATACCATCTTAATTAGATCCACGCAAATAATCTTTTTTTTATAAGATGATTTATATCTTTTATATTAGTGATCAGTTAAAATAAAACTGATGCTGCGAGATGCATGGTTGAAGCGCCTACGCCTCATCATCCATCACCTGAAAAATTTATCAGAACCGTTGGAATGGAACATTTTCTGAAAGTATGTGATTGGATATGGTACTCAACAATAAATTACATCTCTTTTTTTTCCCTAAAGAAAAATTACATCATCTCTACCTCGCTCATTCTTAAGTATCAATCAATCAAAAAAATTAATTTGTTGATAATTATCAGCTTAATTAAAGTAGTAGATTTAAATCCTCTCAATAATGGCTAACAGATAATGCTTAAGAAGAATATTTTTATGATATCAGTATCTAACATTTTCATCAACTAAAGTTTTTGTAATAGAGATGTATGAAATGTGGTTGGGGGTCAGAATTTATTGTATATACTTATTTATTCTGTCAACAAATTTATTATATTCTTTTGTAACAATTGTGAGTGGACCACGGTAGTGAATAATGATGGGTAAACAAATAGAGAAGGGAAGGAACAAAAAAAAAAAAAATAGAAAAGTGGAAGAGAAAAGCATTGTTTCCTGTTAGTACTTAGTAGTTAGTAGCGACTATCTTGGCAAGATTCCAAAAACAAATTTCACTAAAAAGGAAAAAAGAGCTTGGTATCCACGCCTTATTGCTCTCTCTCTAAAGGTTGAGAAGATGGTAAATACATCAAGTTGATTTTGGGTTTTCGACGTTTCGTGTTCGTATCTTTCGATAATGTCTCGGCTTCTCTCCAAGCTCTCTCCCCTCGTAAGCTAAGCTCTTTCTTTCTTTTGGTCTCTCTTAGATGTTTATTTTCTACCAATTAGTGCTTTTTGTTAAAAGAAGACGCAACTTTTCTAGAGGTTTTTTACGGTTGATTTTCTCTCTTAGGGGAGACTAATAAAGACAAAGAAAAGTAATTAATTAGAGAAGAGTACTAAGGATAGGATGCTTAAAGAAGAGTACTAATCGGAGGGTTTATTTTCTACCTTTTTTTTTGTTTTTTTTTCTCTTTGTTGAAAGAGGTTGCCACTTTGCATAGAAGAATCTTACTTAAAAAGTTGATTTTCTCTAACATTGACAATAAAAAAAACTAAAGATAAGGATCGGAGGGTTGAGCTTAGTTACTCTATGCTTTTAAAAAAAAGAGAAGAATTTACTTTAATTGGTTTTTGATCTCTGTGTTGTGTTGCTTACTTGGCAGATTCACAAGAGCAAGAGCAAGAGCGTTCGTTTGTTTTCATCGTCCAAGACCGGTCCCTGTGCTTCGATTTGCAGCGTTGTGGAACCCTCAACGGACGGCGCCGGCAACGGCAACGTCGGAGAAGTCCTGTTGTACGACGTCGCAAAACAAGAGTTAGTTAGAGTGGAAAAAACATATCCCGATGAGCTTTACGACGCACAGTTGGTCGGAGCTTCCCATGGATGGGGTTTTTTCTCCAATAGAGAAGATCGTTCGTTAGTTATCAGCGACTTTCTGAACCCATATGCTTCCAAGTCAAAACCAAAGATAGTTCCTCTGCCTCCGTTTACTAGAATGCCCACTTGCCAAACCGAAGTCGTGTGCAACGTGGCCATGTCCTCTCCTCCCGAGCCATATGACAAAGACTGGGGCGTTGGCATCAAATTCTTGGGTAAACAGCTGAGTTTCTGCAGGCCCAACTGTGACCTACGTTGGACTAACATCCCAACACCTTTTGAGTCTTGGGATAGCTCAAATCTAATGTATTCCAAGAAAGACGAGAGGTTCTACTTGCTTGCTCCCGGAGGCAACTACTTATGCTCCTGGGATCTAAACTTCAAGAAAGATAACAAGCCTAAGTTCCATGAGTTGGTGTTGCACAACCTCCCCAAGATGCCAAGTTCCCGATGGAAGCGTTTGGATTCCTTTTGCAGGGAGGATCACTGGGTGGAGTCACCTTCTGGCGAATGTTTCCTTGTCAAATGGTATTAGTTGGAAAATTAAATTTGCTCAAAATATATTGCCGAAGGAAAAAAAAAAAAAAACTACTTAACACTCTTTTTGGCTTTGGAATGTTCACTTTCAGGTACTCGGAATACACTCCTAAAGGGTTCAAAGCACCGGCGTTAATGGTGTTTAGAGAGGAGGACACAGTAAGTGGGAAGAAAAACATGCGTTATACAGTGGACATTGGAGATCTCTGCATTTTCATTTCAAAGGGCGAGGATTTCTGCGTTGAGGCCAGCTCTTGCAACCTCTACCCTAACTCCATCTTTTTAAATGGCCGTATGCTTGCTGCGCTCAATATCACCAACAAAACCACCGGTTGCTATGAATATCCCGAAGGTACACCAGACAGGATTCCTTACTCCCCGTACTGGCTTCCTCCGTTTTCGAGCTCTAGCTAAGCTTGTGCTGTGTATTTGCTTCTTCATTCGTGTTATTTGTGTGGATGGTTATGTCCTGTTGACCGGTTTTGGATTACTAAGATAGTAAGATCTAATTCAAGATCATCTATGTTCCTTTTTTCTTCTTCTGGAATTCTTGGCCCCCGTATCAATATTAATTAATCAAATTCTGATCTCGTTTTTAGAAGAAATATTGCCTTAGAGCACATGTCTAACTTTGATTACTTTTGTTAGATTTGTTTACCATCGCGTTAGGTTCTTTTTTGAATCTTTTGTACTTCTTTAAAAAAATCCTTTGTACTTCTAGAGTGGATTCTTTCAAAGTACAGTAATATATAATTTAACATTTTAAAACCCCAAAAAAACAAAGGAACAAGGATTTTCTCTTCTAGCCCACGTTTGAAATATACTTACTCCACAAACATTTTTATATTTGACGTCCACAACCACATGGCCCGGGTATTCGTACGAGAGTGCCTCAGCGAACTTAATTTGATGTAGTTCCCGAGAGTGTCGCGTGTACGTCGTGTAGTAATTATATATGATTGACCAAAAAAAAAACATTTTAAATTGCAGCAAGATGGTTTACGTTTTGTTTAAATCTTATCTAAACAGTAAAACTCGTTTCTTTTGAACGACATAGCTTAAAAAAATAGCCATTTACTATGTGCATTCTAAAGGAACCTGGATTTTCGATAAATGCTCTTACCGATGCAGATCAAAGAGATCGTTTATTATTTGAACTCAAGAATGACAGAGAATAATGTTCAAAAAAAAAAAAAAGAATGACAGAAAAACAGAAAAGAAGAAAAGAAGAAAAAAAAAGTACATTTCCTTTGTTCATCAATGTTACAGTATATGCAAAGAAGAGCATATATGGGTTTCCTAGACTAGCTAAAGTCATATATCACTCACTCCTAATACAATTGAGTATTGACCGTGATTACAAAATTTGACTAATAGTTTTTTTTTTTTAATTTTACGAATAGTTGGCATTTATTTTTTTTTCCTAATTTGCACTTTACTCTCGGATTTTCTTACAAGAATTAGTTTGCAAACTAAACAACAACTAAATTAAACAGACTTTTTATTACTACTAAAACTTTTTTCTTAACTGTCAATATCAAAAGAAAATTATTAATTTGGCCACAAATTAATCACACCTAACAAAGAAAAATCTGTAGCAATTATGTGCATGGTCCTGAAACCTTTTGGACCAGAAGCAAAAGACAAACTTATGGGCTTATAGATTAATTATTTAGAAAAAGATGAAAAATGGTTTCATCGACTTAATTGTTAATGTCTTAATGGTAACTAAAATTATGGGCTTATAAATTAATCATTTGCAAAATTGTACCACAAATTTATATATGTAAGAATCGAAACTTTCTGATGCACATAAACCCAACGTCTGCTCTACAAATAACATAAAAAGATTTACAAATAACAAAAGTTGAAGAGATAGAGAGAAGTATGAAATGTGGTTGGGTAATTATTAAGAATTTATTGTATATAGCTGTAAGCTGTTTACTCTGTCAACAAATTTATGATATAGCTTTTGTAACAATTGTGAGTGGACGACGGTAAATGAATAATGATGGGTAACAAATATCGTAGATCAAGAAAAGAAAAAAGAGTGGTAGAATAATGGAAAGAAGAGCATTGTTTCCTGTTAATAGCGAGTACTTTCTTTTCTGAAACAAATAGCAACTATCTTGGCTTGGCAAGATTCCAAAAACAAAAATTTCTCCAAAAAGGAAAGAAAAGCTTGGTAGCCAAGCCTATTGCTTTCTTTAATGATAGAGAAGATCGTAGAGACTCCAAATACATCAACTTAATTCTGGCGATATCTTTCCAATAATGTCTAGGCTTCTCTCCAAGCTATCTCCCCTCGTAAGCTAAGCTCTTTCTTGCTTCTGTTCTGTCTTAGATGGTTTTTTTTTTTTTTTTTGGTTCAAATCTCAGATGGTTTTATCTCTAAGTCTTTTACCAAAGAAAATTGAATTTTTTTTTCCTCCTTAACAAAAACAAAGATAAGGATCGGATGGTTGAGGTTGCTACATGCTTAGACAAGAGGAGGAATAAATTTACTTCTAATTGCTTTTGATCTTTGCGTTGCTTACTTGGCAGATGCGCAAGAGCAGGAGCGTTCGTTCGTTTTCATCGTACGAGACAGGCCCGTATTTGTCGCTTTGTGTCAGTGCAAAACCGCTGCCGGAAAGCGGCAACGTTGGAGAAGTGGTATTGTTCGACCCTGCGAAAGAAGAGTTACTCGAACTCACGGATAAAACAATTCCTGAAGAAATCGTTCTGGCCAACGGCATCGGAGCTTCCAAGGGATGGGGAATTTTCTGTGACCCGCAAGATCGCTGCGTGCTTATCTCAGACTTCATGAACCCCTGGTCTTGCAAATCAAACCCGAAGCTCTTCACTCTGCCTCCGCTTACTCCTCTGCCCTCTTGCCAAACTGATGTGGTCTGGAACGTGGCAATGTCCACTTGTCCTGATGAAGACGAAGACTGGGTAGTTGGCATCAAGTCCTTGGGTGACCAGCTGAGTTTCTGTAGGCCCCGTCGTGACTTGCGTTGGACTAAGATCACAACCCCTTTTGACCACTTTCCAACCTCGAACCTAATGTATTCCAAGAGAGATGGGAAGTTCTACTTGCCTGGTCCTGGAGGCCACCACTTGTTGTCCTATGATCTCCTCCACTTGGACAAGAAAGCCTACTAGCCTGAGTTCCATGAGTTGCAATTTCGAGACTTTCCACATTCAGTCGAGTCTGAGTTGGATCTACGGGAGCTATTTCCTTCTTCTTCCAGGACGGAACACCTCGTGGAGTCACCCTCGGGAGATGAACGTTTCCTCGTCAAATGGTATATATATACACACACGATCTAGTCTCTACTCTCTAGCTAGCTAATAGTGGCATATATATGAATCTACATTGTTGTTAAACCATCGTTGGTTCTTGCATGCAGGTACGCCAACGGCTGTTTGGCTTCGAAAAAAATCTCATACGAAACGCAGCAGTTCATGGTGTTTAGAGAAGAGGAGACTACAGAGGGAAGATTCATGTGTTACACTGATGACCTTGGAGATCTGTGTATCTTCATTTCAAAGGGCGAGGCTTTTTGCGTCCCTGCAAGCTCTTTCCCTGGACTCAAACCAAACTCCATCTATTTTATAGGCTTTGGCTTAGGTATCTACGATCTCACCACCAAAATCGCCTCAAGTTTTCAAGCTCCCAAAGGTGCGCTGGATCATATTGTGCTCCCTTACTGGTTTCATCCATCTTCTAGCTAGTGCTAAGATCGGTTTGCTTCGTTTTTATTTTCTCTCGACTAGCTAAGATCTTCCTTCTCACTCACCTTTGAGACGATTTTAATTTATGTGATCTACTATGATTATGAAGATATTTCTTCTATATATCTATTATTTATTTATTTAAAACACACACAGTTCATCACCTGTTTGGTTTTTTACACAGTGCTAAAAACATGTCTTTCATAAAACAATCTCTCTAATTAATCGAACAAATTTTTCTGACATCACAATACGGGATTGTTATCAAGAGAAAAAAAAAAGAAAATAAAAGAGTACCACATAGAAAAACTATGCCTGTCACACATGTTTTTTACCATCCAAAATAAAACAATGCTGATCAGAGACCATGTATGTGATGAGGTTGATGACAAGGACACTGAGCTGGACAATAAGACAAGGTCAACAAGGAAGAGAAGACTTATTAGTAGTCTCTGTTATGATTTTGTTTTGTCGTGCAAGTAGTATAGGGAGATTGGGCTTCCGTGTTTCGAGGAACCTGAACTCCACTTTCCCATTTCCTCAGTTATAAATGGGGACCACAGCTAAAGATCTTGTGGCTTTTAAATGGGGACCACAGCTAACAAAATGCATTTTAGTTATTTTAATGGACTATGCAGCTCTTTTTAAGGTTTTTTATTTTTATTTTTGCTCAACGTTTTGCCACATGCTCTGATTTTTTTTAGCATAGAGTTCGGACTTTAAATTCGACTTTCGTTTTATTACGTCTCTGAGCCACAATGGGGATTCTAAGTTGGATAGACTTTACAACTGTGAGAACGATCTGTGACTATGCGAGTAACTGTTCCACAGAGTTTAACTTCCTACAATTAAAAAAGCCGAATGTTAGCTAATAGTTATAAGTTAAAAGAGATTGCCTCCAGAGCTGGCTATCTTTCCATATAATCGGGCTTACTAAAGTGATTGTGTCCTGAACTATCTTATTTTTTGTTTTTCCCACTGTTCCTGTGCCAGTGCCTTTGCCTGTTCCTGATCAGAGAAGTGTGTTAGCAGAGATGAGCTTGATTTTTGTCACATGAGCCTGAGAAATGAAAATGCAAGCAAAGGCAAGATCTTGTGGATTTACCGACACGCCCCCATGGTTTTGAGCAAAAAGTTTCAGTGATTGAGTAGAAACCTGCGACTTGACATACGCTGATTAACAGCTACATATAAAAGCCTATATATATATATATGTACGTGTATGTATACGCATAAATTGATAACTAACGCACATCTTATATATAAAAGAGGAAGAACTTTCTCCATCCTGTTGCCACATCATTACTGGACAGAGTAACACGTGTTTATATTTATTTTTCTCAACTTTAAAAAATTAAAAACTAAATGATGCTTCATTTTGCTAAATTAAATACTTTAAAGCTCCCTCTTATCAGTTCAATCTAGCGGAAGAGCAAACAAAATAAGAGTATTCGAGTGAAGAGATGTCAAAGAAACTCAATCTGAAATTCGATTCCCCAAAAACTGAAACCCATGCGCCATCCGGTAAGTATGACTCCCATCGATAATGTAAGTGTTTCTTCTCTTAATTTTCCATTGAATGCTCGTGTCGATTTGTTTTCGGCTATCCTGAAAATATATTGAGTTTGTGATAATCGGAAATCAACTAATTGGTATTTTACTCATATTGTTAAATTTGCATTTGGTAGTCTCTAGGGAACAAGCTTTCATTCAAGAGTTATTCACTTCTGTGTGATGTATCTACACTATACTCAGCAATCATATGTGCATTGCACTTTGAAATAAATTGGCCTTTCTGCACGGGAATAGATAATAGATTCCCAATCATACTTCTCCCACTTGGTTCATTGATTTATAGCTGAAGAGAACGTCTATTTTGGATTCTTATAGTTAAACAAAATCAACGTTTCATCAAACCATCGTAATCTATATATACGATCTCTCCAATCTAATTGCTGGAACTAGATCCTAAAATTGTTAGTTTTAAATGTATTCGACAGGTAACGGAATCAGAGGTACAAGAAGTGGGCACAAGTGTTGGCGATCCTGAAGGTGTTCGAACAAGATAATTAAAGGTTGATCGTCGAGTAAAAAACCGATGGTAAACGTCAGCAACGTAAAGGCAGTGGAAGCAAACTCAGGAATCAACTACGTTGGTAATATCCCCCTTGCTAACTAGTAATTTTTTAAATCATTTTGTTCCGTAGTAATTTAAAAATGGGACCAAGAAGTTTTTGTTTAAATTTTTGTACAATTGAATTCTCTTTTGATCTTAATACAATTTGTCTATTCATGTTTCGCTTTGATCATAATTGATTGATTGGTATCGACATTTGTAGGATTTAGAGGAATATCCACGCTAAGGAACCAGGGACAGAGCAAATGTATGTCTTTCCCACTGTATTTCCCATTTGATAAATATTTTATTTCACTGTTATGGATTTAGACACTACTTTGGCTTTAAAAAGTTTATATGTTCTTTCGTTCTCTATTCTATCTCCACCATCGTACAACTAAATAAAAAAAGAGAAACATGTGAATGTTGATACTACATCTATATAATGGTAAAACCGTTCTGTCAATTAGCAGATATGATGTAGCTGTTAATGGATGTAGAAAGTGGTAAAAGAAGAGGAGGAATAGCTGAAGATGTTAAGAACAACGGAGAAGAAATGCATATTGCTGTTAAGTGGTTGATACACATTCAAAGAAGTGTGGGACTTCAAAAAACAAAGGAAATCAACATTGTAGGAAGTCAGTACTTTTATTTCCAACGATATCAAATGTCTGAAATACAGAATGACCTAAAAGTATGCTTCTTCTTTATTTGGAACATGTTTTCTTGCAAAGCTTATATATGTAGTGTCATCATCTATACCTACAAACACTCCATAACCTTGAGATTGACGACCCTTGTAATGGCTTATAAGGTAAAGGCTTTATAAGGTTTTTTGTAAACCAGTTTTATTTTTTTTGTAAACCAGTTTTTTTTTGTAAACCAGTTTACTTCATTTTTGTTGGAATGGAAGAATCCAGTGGTCTTCTACTTTGGTTGAGGTCCCAGAAGCCTCAAATTCAATGATGTGAAATAATTTAATGGTCTTCTAAATGGGTTTTTAATTCAGCTCCTTAAAGAACGATATTGAAGGCGTTTAGAAGATTGTTAGAAAATGTTAGTTATTGTTCCTTTTATGCATTTTGCATATTTTATGTACATATCAGCTAATATTTTGCGTAAACAAATTGTCTGTAATGGTTTTGACTACAATTCGATCATTTTGATCAATGTGCAAGAGGAGATAAATTAGCAAATTTTATCCTCTTCATCTCCCGTACATTTAAATTCTCATATTTTACCGGTCTTTACAGCTCAAGTGTGATAATAATATAGCGACTGAATAATGTGGGGTTTTCAAGCATCTTCGTGATCGTGCAAATAACTTGGATCATTTAGGAGAAATCTTTATTATTTGGTTTGATTCTGATTACAGAATATATGCTCTTTCTATTGAAGTTATAAAAAAAGAAACCACTGAATGAGGAAATTAATTTTAATCACTCTATAAAGAATTATAATTCTGTCTAACATTTTTAATTTCTGTCATTTCAACTTCTCTTCTCATCAAAGGACAAGGATTTTACATTTAATTAAATAGTAACCAATCTTTGATTCAACGATAGTTCCACAACTAATGGATATCATTAAAATTTAACAATGTAATTAAAAACTCGCGCATAGCGCGGGTACTCACCTAGTAATATTTAAAAGTTATGAATAGCTTCTTATCGAGAAAGCCAATAAGGTTTTGCGGCCAAATTAAAAGCTAGCAGGTTATATTACTTATTTTCCTTTTTTTATTCCTTTTAATTAGTTAAATAATATCAGCTATGAAAACAAAAATAAAACTTTAGATTGAGAAAATGCATACAAAAATCAAATGTTCTAAGATCCGGGTCCAAGAAATTTGGAATTTTCTGGTTAAAATTGGGACATTACCAAAGTTATCTATATATCGTCCAAAGAGGTACTGCATTGTGATGCAAAAAAATCAATTAGGGACCTAGTATTCTTTTCAATATGGATATTTGTAGAATATATGAAAACATCAGTGCATGGATTTTGAGGGGTATCGGTTTTGGTTCAATCCGTTTGAACTTTTAAACAAAAGTTCGGGATTAGACCATGATTATCGGTAGTTTCTTGTAAGTTTCTTCTGATTTAATGAGTTTTTTTTAATTGAATTAAAGGAGTTAAATACAGAGATCGATCTTTATTTAAGGATTTTAAGGATCGATCCTAGCAGATGACGTGGCAGAGTTTGGTTGGTTCGCTTCAACATTTTCTCTCTCTCCTACTTTTTCGTCGTCTTCTTGTTTCTCTATATGAATCACAGTGACGCCATTTTTTTGTTTTCTGTCTGATTCTTCTCCACCATTTTCGATATTCCTCTGATTCCTCTCCACCATTTCCATGATTTTCCGTCGTTTCTCTTCTCCAACATGAACGACGACGCGAACGGAGGTAATCAGAGGAGAAGAGCTCGTCGATCTGAGAAGACAATCGGTCAACGTCACCGTCAAACAAACGAACCTCGAACAACGAAGCACAGGCTGATGATGACGACGACACATCTCTTCCTCTTTCCCTAAGTTTGGGCCCAACTTTCTCCATTATTATTCTTCTCAGATCTCACCGATGATGATGATGTGGGTTTCTCTGATATTCTAAACTTAACTTAATTTAATTTAATGAGTTTCTTATCTTCATTTTATTATTTTAATATTCTTCAAAAAACTTATATGAGTTTCTCTAATAAACTTGCTCTTAATGTCATTGATGACTTTTTAGTGGGCCATCAAACTCACGTAAAGGCCCATAATTTCCCTCTATCTCACGCAAGTGAATTCGTAAAATAAGTTATGGGTAAAAGAAGTTGGTTCAAACTTCAAATCCCCGACATTAATGCGTTTGTTGTTGTTATACATATTAATATTAAATAATGATAATAAGTTTGAAACAAATGCTGAAGTCAGATATGAAAATAACTCAAATATTAAAAGAGCCAATCACTAATGGTGAAATTGTATTCGGATCAGTTTTTTTAAAAACTTTTTTATAAATAAACGATCACAGAATAATTACTGACAAAG